AAAAGAAAGCTGTACCTTTGTAAATGGCTTACAGGATGAACTGAGTGGTATAAATATTTTGTTAATTTGAAATAGACCTTTATGATTTTCATCATTTAAAGATACATAAGTTAAATTTAAGTTGTATAGAGTTAGCCTATATTTTAAGTATAGTTAAATTAGACCTTTATGACTTTAAATGTTTACCATCATTTCAAGATACATAGCAATTTAGAAATATGAGACTTAGCACAGTTTAAGTTGCATATAGAGTTAGATAAGTATAAAGTTAAATTTAAATTACATGTACAGAAACAAGCAGGACTGGATAAGAGTAAAAGAGGAACCAGAATGCAATCTCTGATCCGTACATTGTAGCAAACAGACAGGAGATTTAAAGGGACAAAGTAGACTTAAACAGAGGGCCCTAGAAAGACACAGTATTCCATAAACGAGCCATGAGCAACAGGGCCATGAAGAAATCACAGACAAAAAAAAAATAAAATAAAATAAAAAGCAAAAAGAATCTGACAGAAATAAAAAATCCAGCAGACAGGTTTGCTGGCATAGGCCGCTGGAGTGGGCATGCTTACAGGTAGGTCACATGACCAAGATAGCGGGGGTGGGGTGGGGGTGGGGGCGCTCGGTGTGCCCAGGTTAGCCCACATGGCAGAAGCTCATCAGCCTGGAAGTGGTGCCAGGGCCATGACTGAAAGACACAGGAGTCTGATGGGGAGCTCAGCAGGTCCGATACCAAGGAGGACCCAGCAGTTTAAAAAAAAAAATACACAGCGATCCCGGAGCAGGGTGCTAGACCTGACCTATGGGAGATGCACCCAGCAAGTTAAAGAAGAAATCAGAGACAAAAAATAAAAAGCAAGATGTCTGGCGGCAGTACTTGCCTGTGCAAGTTACTGAACTGAGTGGTCAGGATGGCAGCCACCAGGTCAGACCACATGACCAAGATGGCAGCCCCCATAAGCACATTCTTTCTCCATGAGTGAGGCAGTAAGCTGTACAAAACCCAAAAGATCCCTCGTGGAACTGAACCAAAAACCTCAAACCTCTTTCGTGTGAAAAAATGAAAACAAACAAACAAACAAAAAAAAAAACAAAACTCTCAGAGCGTCTCAAGCAGACACTGCCAATCAAAGAAGAAACACAGTCAGATATAGAACAAATAGAAGAACGAGGGACATTCCCAGGTGAAAGAAAGTTCCCACTGTGAGGCAGAAGAACTACCCTCATTTACCTACTCACTAGCAGTAACCAAAAGGACCCATAAAATGTATTTCTTATGGACAAGGCAAAATGGCACAGACTGCTTTGTCTGAGAGCACCCAGCAGAAAGCCCAAAAGAGGCTCAGCAGTCTGAAACGGAAAAATGGACCCAGTAGACCAAAAGGCAGTGAACTCCAAAATGGAGTGCTGGGTCTACCCCATGGGAAAAGTAATGGGTATCTTACCAGATTGCAGCGAACAGGCAGATGAGTAAGTTCCAGAGATCCTTAGTTTGAAAAGTGGCGAGTTGAAGTGTACAGAGTTCCGGCATCTCAGGGCACTACAGGTAGGAGGAAGTGTCAGGAAAAGCCGAGATGGAAGTGGGTTATGAGTTCAGATTTTAGGATCCCAGAAATTTCCCATGCCCCTGGCAGGAGAAGTTACAGAGAAAGCCTATCCCGCCAGCAAGCTGCGAGAGAGCTTACGGAGAGAGCCTAAATCACGTAGTAACCAAATGTTGTGTTTTTGAAGAAAAAGAGGAAGGCACAAGAGTAAGACATAGGATGAGACATATTGACTAGTTTATTATAGGCCCGGCAGAGTAGGGAGACTAAGAGAGAAGAGGAACAGGGGTAATGGCTGACCGACATGGCCGGTCGCCATGGAGAGGCAGAAAGAGCGTGTCGGTGGGAGAAGAGAGAGCGAACAGAAGCAGAGAGAGAGTAGAGAGTGAGCAGCAGGGAAGTTGGAACTTTTAAAGGGAAGACTGTGCATGTCCACTGAGGTTCCACGAATGCCCAGAGTCCTTATGCAGGCTGTAATGCATGGCGGGTGACGTGGTGATGACATAGTACGTTTTCCCTTGTGTACCCTGACTATTGTCAGGGGGCAGGGTCCGTCTCTTAAAGAGGTAGAGCCAATCAGCATCAAAGTCTGAACGTTTCAGAGAGGGTGACAGGGCTCCTGTCACTCCTCCAACTCTTAGGCAGTTGAAAAAGACCCGAGATGTCCAAAGATGTGCACTGTAGTTGCAAGCAATCTTGACCACTTAGCCAGGACACACACAACTGTCATCCTCTGTACGTAACATAGAACCTGGACAGTTAGTCCTGCCTTAGAGTTTTCACTAAGGACATTTAGGATGACTGGGGTGCCCTTCTTGATCCCAGCTGCCCGGTGCCTTCTCTGCCCATACCTCACATAACTGGACACACCTCTGCACACTTCTCTTCCTGCCTCTCTCTGTGCCACTGCCACAGGAGGTTCAAAGTGGCCTGCTGTCTCAATAACTTCTTCCCACAGGCCTAAATGAAGTTTCCCGTCCCATCTCTCACTCATTCACCTTTCAGATTTAGCTTGCTCAAGGTAACCCTCAAGGAAACGACAAATAGGATGGATCTCCTGTGTGTTTGCAACACTTAGCTGTGGTTAAACTCACAGAGACACAAGTCTGGGGCTGAGGGTCAACATTATTACCAGTCACAGTTTCTTTTCCAGTCGCTCTTCTCAGCCAATTGAATATTGTCCTTTTTTCAGAATTAAAATCTTCGGTCCCCAAAAGGTTTGTGAGTAAAAGTATTCAGATTCAGAACCAGAATCTGCTTTTGTTTGCTTCTGAGAGTTACTTTGGGAGGAGACTGTTAATTAAAATGTCCTGGTGCTTGTCCCCTGAGGCAGTTCCTTCCACACGAAGTGCTTCCCAGAGCATATGCTGGTGCCTGTCAGAGCTGCATGACTGTGAGTGACAAAGAGTGAGCGGTAAAGAGGATGGGGACTCCACAAAGCCCAAACTCAACACATTCCACATAGCGCTGTCGCCAGCACAGGGCTGGTGTTCATCATCTTTTATTTATTTATTCAAGAAAATTTTACTGACCCTGCCAGTTAATTACGGTAATGTATTCATGGATGTTTGCAGCATGATTGTTGATCTCTTTTGTATGTCTGAAATATTTCTTAAGAGTTTCCTGTCAGAACAGTTTATTCATATTCAAGGCCGGTGAAGTAGGGAGGATGTCAACCACTGTGTCCTTCCTGTATGTGCTTGGAGGTGCTTCTAACATCCTATTTGCAAACAGCAAGTTAGGACAGGAGCCTTTAACCTGAAGAGGGTGATTCTCAACATGCCACTGTTCTGGAAAAATTCACTGTCAGTAACATTAATGAGTTAGAATGTTCAACCATTTTCACAGAGAGAAAAAAGTACATGCTAAATGCCAACTAGAATCAGAATTGTGTTTGAGTTTCATCAACAGGTGTTTGTTTTTCATCGCACTCAGTCTTCACAGCTAATAGCATCACAAAGAACTTTACATTCACGAATAGATCAGTTTTGTTCCATGCTTTAACTCTGCTTACCATGGACCAGCTCTCCCTGACCAGAATGGGATGGAAGCAGGACATTTTTATTTTGCACCATCTATCTTCGAGATTTGGGTTTTAGAATGTCTATCTAAATAAAGCAAGACTGTTATTAGTGAGTACTTCCTAAGTGCTAGTGATGACTAAACTAGTATATGCACTCACTGCTAAGTTTTTCATCTCTCATCAGACAGGTGTCTGGATTCTCATTTGTGTATTGAGAAATCCTTTTCTTCGTCTGATGTCACTTTCTTCTTAGATTAATTTCTAAAATTGTACAGGAGTTATGTTAATCCCTGGATATGTCACACAAACATGAACTCAAATCAACCAAAATGATGAAGTTGGTTCACATTAAAGAGGCTTCCTCCTTCATGTACAATGTCTCGCCATGATTAAAGTGTCTGAAAAGGAGTCAGTTAGCATTGGTGGATAAAGATACACAGTCCATTGTAGGGGAAGCTGTAGCCACGCCTTCTTAGGGGCTGGCTACAGGTGTGCCTGACCACGCTTGTGAGGGCGTGGTCAGAGTGACGTAGGGTGACTGCATTTGCGCTTTCGGTTTCTCTTTGCTTCTTGCTGTACAGGCTGCTGACCCACCGGCTGGCTAGGTCGCTCTGTAAGTAAGGCTTTTCCCTATTAAATACCCTTATATTTCTACCTGACTCCGTATTGGTAATTTCCCACAATAGTCCATGAATGAATCATGAGCATTAAACAACTGCCCACAGTTTTCCCTTGTGTATTGTTCCCTTTCTGCAGTCCTCTGTCATAGGGGAAAATGCAGAATGACCTCAAAAGGGACTCAAACTCAACCTGAAGGAAGCTACTCAGTTTCCAGCAGCTGGAAACAATCAGGACAAGTGAACTGACTCTGTTCTCCTTTCAGAAGAAAATAAAGTGTAAGTCTGAAATGTTTGAAAACTCCAGTATCCCAAATTCTGTGTATGGGTTTCTTGCATCCTTAGTGACAAGGTCGGCCATAGAGATAGGTCACAGACAACTCAACCCCTCACACATATATAGTGCTTCACTGTGTTAAGTCCTTGGCTGCACACAAGAGGGGCTGTGGGCAGGATTAGGATCAAAGTACAGCAGCCAGCAGTGATAGGATAAGATGCTCTGTTGTCACCAGTCACCAGGACCTTTAACTATGCACAGACTCACACACAAGAAGTATTCCAGAGGAATAAAAATCCAAATTAATACCTTAGCTGCCAGCAATGTATGTAAAATCAGCAGATATGCCCTTGATATGTGAGGGTAATGCTCTGATGATTTTTTAGTATCTTCTATTATCTATTCAAAATGTGATTTATTTTAAAAGAAAGCTAATGTAGGGCATATAAATGATATATAAGAAAAATTATTTAAATTGAATAACCAGAGTTAATTTAGCTAATTTATGAAATATGACACAGGACATGAGGAAGGAAAAATGCATTTGCTTAAATCTTAATCCCTTTATTTACTACAACGCAGACATTTTTCTTTTTGACATCAGTGAGTTTGGTGGGTTTTATGTTTATTTTTTGACATTTTTACTTATTCAGCAGAAAACAAGAACCAATGACTATTAGTAACATCAGTAAGTTAGAGCAAATGTGGAAACAATTCTCTTTTGGAATGATGCTTCAACAAGTGGCCAGCAAATCTCTTCTTCCTGCCCAGTACCTGTAACACATGAATATCCACAAACAACAATGGACAGACGTGATACAGAACAGCCAACGGCTTTCATTTTATAGATGAGATAGTGACAAAAGGTCACTATAACTATGTTTCTAGCTACTAAATGAATTTGCCCATCCTAAATTTTGCTCTGAGATTCAGAGAAATTACTATCTCCTTATGTATTGTGCAATGATTCCTCCAAATATCTTCTTATGCTCAATACAATGTTATCCAGACACCTTTTGACTTCAGTGTATGACATACAAAGGGCCACCTCCATACACACACACACACACACACACACACACACACACACACACAAATTGTGAGGAGACTAATGGGATATGCAAAAATGAAAAAGAAATAAATTGAATTTTTTGGCAATACCCTAGTGAAAAATACATATTTCTTGGCAACTATCCAGTTTTGGAAACAATATCCAGCTAAGACCCAATGAGGTCTGAGAGCCTCCCCCTGGGTTTGCGCTCATTAGTGCCCACCCCCAATCTCATACCTTCTTTCTCTGGCATACATTCCAGTCTTTGGAAACATGAAATACCCCTAGACAATGTGCCCTTCTCCAAAAAAACATCCTACTCAAAGATCCTGACTTAAGTTTTGAATTAATGCAGGTAGGATGAAGGCTTTCAGGAAACATCCTTAGAATGTCACATGTATGCGATGTTAAAGACACCTGATAGGTCTGAATGCCACCTTATTAAATTAAAAGCACCTGTATATTTATATGATGCAACCAATGGTTTAGATATTAGGATTCTAGAAATAATACATGTCTTATAGCAAAAAATATACATATAATAATCCACCTATAGTTTATATAAATGATGAAATGTTTTGAATATATCTATATATCTATATATATATACACACATATATACTCTGTGTATTTGCAGAATCAGGCACACAAATACTACAGTCCTTCATTGGCTCTTCCATGTCAGTGTCAAAGACACTAGATTTCAAAGTCTTATTGCCTGGAACAAAGGTCATCGCTGAGGACAGAGGACTGGCTTGATGCATCTTCCCTTATGAAGGACCAAGTTTGCTGGACAGTGGCAACCCGCGATGCATGGCTTATTGCATGGGCCAATCTCATTCCAGTTGTCACAGGTCTTCACACATCCCGGACCACATGTATCATACACAGCACCATGTTTACACTGAGTAGCTAAAAAAGATGGAACAAAGTTGTTGTGAAAAAAAGGCCATGTCAGCTCTTGTCTCTTCCAGAGACAAGTCTTGTGGGCTCTAGGCAATGTAGAGACTCTGCCACAGCCAAAGTTCAGATTTACATTTCAATGAGGAAATAAGGAACAAGTAACATTCTTTAAACACTAGGGAACTTAACAAACCCAGAGACCCAAAGACCCAAAGACCTGTCCCCTGGGCCAATGAATCTTAAAACAAAAATGAGTAATCAAGGCTTTTCCATTCCTAAGTAAGACAGACCATAAATTTGTAAGGCTGTTAGAAAATTGGTAATGGTATTTATTTGATACAAATACCATGACAATTTAACTACAAATATTCTTTCCTCTTACTGAGTTATGATGAAGAAAAATATCACAGACAACTATTTAAATATCAAGAGTATTACATACAGAAAAAAATTTTGACAATATTGGAGGTACGTGACACATTTTAAGTCAAAGTGATCATGTGTTGAATGAATCAACTTCAGACAAGTTAAAGCAATAGGATAGTGCCAAATGTAGAAGAGTCACATGTGTGACCACAGAAGGGCAGCAGCTAGCTGGCTGGATCAGAGAGTACAAAAGTCCATATGATAACAAGGCAATTCCTACCAACTTGATATCTTTGTTAACTCAGAACTGAAATGATTTTCATAATATTTTCTGAGACACTGAAAATCCATGAATAGATTTATCAGAAAACAACAATAAAAACATTCTGGAAGATTTATGACTTTTCCAGTTGTGTTAGCACCAATGACAAAGAATGGGGTTGTGGCTCATTCTCAGTTATGGGAATTTGACACATGGAAGGATTCAGAGCAGGGATTCTCCAGACAAACCAACAGTACTCCACACTTCATTTGAAATTATTTCAAACAAAACTAATGACAATGAAGAGTAGCTTTAATTTCTCTGTTTTAGTTTGTGCATTGTGAAGACAATACCTGCTGAAGGACTGATTCTACAACCATAAACTTTAGAATTGTTTTTTTTTTTTAACAAGCCTGACTTTGAGTCTTTTGAATTATATATTTAAAATTGTTATTTGTCTATATTTAACTAATAATGACTTAAAAAGAAACAAGTTCTATAATAGCCCCCAGAATGCCCATAGCTCTAATTAAAGCCAAACAAACAAAGATATGGCCAGCATGTTTCTCTCATGTACTCCCTGTTCATGAGTTGTTTGAAAGAGTTTTGAGCATCATTTGAATATTACCAAATATAGAATATTTTACTCTGGGGCAGGTGAGATGGTTCCATGGCTCAAGGGATTGCTGTACAAACCTGAGGACTGTAAGCTGGATGTGGTAGCAATATAAGCAAACATAGCACTAAGGGAGAAAAGATAGGCATATCTTTGGAGTCCTCTTGCCAGCTAGTGTAGCTGATGTCACATAGAAAGACACATAATATTGATCACTGTCTTCCACACACACGTGCAGCCATAAGATGGAATCTAGTTACACACACAAACATTTGACTTCAAAATTGTTTTTCCATGGGTCCCTATTAAAACATAGCATATTTACTTAGCATCTAGTCTCTTATTTGTCCATAGGAAAAATTGGAAATTATCAACCACTTGTCATCTATCTGATCCATGTCAGAGGATGAGTTACTAGAGGTTATTACCAGTCATTATACTGCATCTGCTTTTATTGATTCCTATGCCTAGCTCAGCCTCTTAGCTTTTTGAGGTGTCTTCTCAAACTTCCCATCTAAAAAAATATACATTCACTACCCTTTTACACTGTTTTTTCCTCCCTTCTTCCTTATACCTTCTCTGACCTGAATGGTCTATTGTTTATCATCTGTCACCAGAATGTAAGCTTGTTGAGAACAGAGCTTTCTGTCTGGTCTATCACTATAGCTTGAGAAACTAGCTCATTTGTGAGGATACAGAGCAGGTTGGGTATAAAAGCCATCAATAAATGCTTGCTCAACAAATGAGGCAGGCAAGTAGACACTTAACACTTGTCGTTAAGAATCCTCTCTACAATTCTTTATGTGTCCTGTGATGTGATCTGTCCTCTATGGGTGGCCACAGATGCTTTCTGTGCATAGTCACCACCATCAAGATATTGAAGGAAATAATAATACAGGGTACTGTGATTCTTATTATCTATTTACATCCCTCCATAACCTCTAAAATTCTTTGTCTCTTAAACATAATCCCATCTATCTGAGTATGCCTAGGTGCAGAATCATACAGTGAATAAGAAAACCACTATTCTATCCCTTAGTGTTACATTCCCTGACATGACCTCCATCTACAGCATAACTTAACATTCCATTGGTTAAACTTCTCATAATTTACTTCTACTCCTCAGACTGTCAGGAACCACTTGGAACCAAGTGAGTCATCCTCCATGATCAAGTGATCAAATGCTATCTACTATCAAGTGTGGCAATCAGCATCCACACTGATGCCCATCGACCACCCAAACAGAACCCAGTTGACTGCAAGTTTCCTGCCTATCCCCTCCACTACTCCTTCTGTAATCTGTCTGCTCGCACATTCATCTTCTCCCTCTATATTTGTGCTAGCAGACTTGCTTCTCCCCTCCTTTCAAATATCAAAGTTTATGGAAAAATGTATAGTCACTTTGCCCTTCTCTGTAATCCATTAACATTGCAAACCCATCTCCTTCACCCTCCACTTTATTGAAGCTGTTCCTTCCAAAGTTTTCAGCAGTCATTACATCTGCTGACATCCTGGCAGCTCTCGTTCCTCAAAGAGCTCACAAGGTCATTTTGTTTACTTGGCTTATGACATTGTGCCCTCTGGTCCTCACTAACCCCTTAGAGATGTGTTCATCTCTTGGATGCCTGTGCTTGACCTTAGCACTAAATACTAAAATAGCCTCCTACCCTGCTCCTCTGACATTTGCTTGTACTCTCCCCTTTCATTCTGATCTCCGGTTCCAGTTCCAGCCCTGTTTTCCAGTTATAGAGCTCTGAATCTATTATCATCAACTCGAAATCTTCACTTAATCTAATTTCTTATCTTAACTCAAATGTCACTCTGTCAAATAGCTTCTAAAAACCCCAGACAAGGGTCACTGCATCTCAAAGCACTTGGACATTGTAGTTGTTCGTTTGTTTGAACTGCCCAATAACAGTGAAGTTCTGGGGTGTGTGGCTGTGTGTTTGAGTATGTGAGGGTTGTGTGTATGCATGTGTATGTATGTGCTGTGTGTGTGTGTGTGTGTATGTATGTGCTGTGTGTGTGTGTGTGTGTGTGT